AGATAGATCTGACAAGGAGCTGGAATGTGGGGGAAGCTGGTTGGGCAAAGAGATTGGGGAAAAGAGCTATGTACAGGGTGGAGGTGAAAGAGACTAAGATTGGATGAGGAGCCTGGAGAGGGACACAAGGATGCACCAATGAGAAAGGGATAGGGATGAAAAGCTAGGGGTAGGGAAAAGACAGGTCTGTGGCAAGACAGAAAGAGTGTGGAACAGGCAAGAGGGTCTGTGCCCACTAGAAGACACTCCCCTCCACAGCTGGGAATGGAACCCAGGATTCCTCAGTCTCACCATTCCTTTGCTGTCAGCAAATAGCAATGAAATCCACAGCAAGGTATGACTTATATCCCTTTGGTCCTGGTCCACATAGAGGATAACATCCTACTACTGCTAGCAGTTACTTCATTACTTCAAGTGGCAGAACTCTGTGTGGTGGATTGAAAGATTTCAGCCATGCTTATGATCCATGCAGGGATTTTTAAAAAAAGTTTCTTTTAAAAAAGCCCCTAAAACTATGATAAAAGAGCATTAAGGTTGCAAAATCAAGCCCTCAAAAGTTAGGAAATACCAGAATTAAGTTTGCTTGTGTAACCTTAATTTGGCCCCCATGTGCATATGCATTATTATAAATATTTATGTGATCACATACTATTTTTTCCACAGAACCCCTGCCTCATTTAGCCACTCAACTATAGAGTCATTCTCAATGTTTCTGGCCCAATTAATATTGGATTATTTATACAAAGTGGAATGGCTTCAACAACAGAATATGAGAGAAACCTCCATCAGAATTATTCCATGGTCCAATCACCTCATCTGAGAGGTGGGAAAACCCTGTTTAACTACCTTTGCCTCATGAGGCAGAAGGGGAAATTGAACTATGGTCTCCCACCTCCTAGTTAAGTATCCTAACTCCTGGGCTAAAGGTAATCAGGGAGGCTGCGTCCTTTTTTGGCTATCTTCTGTGGAGCCAGGTATGCTCTGAGCATTGTACCAGATCAAACCCTGCAGGTGACATAGGTGCTGCCCTGCCTATCTTCACCTGGTTTGAGTATCATGCTGGGTGTTAGGTGTGAGATAGGCATCTGGACACTTGCCTGAGGCAGCAGCACTCATGCTTAGAGGCAGAAACTTAGGCACCTACTGGACCTTTTACAGCAAAAATGTAGGGACCAAGTGTGGGCTTTGTGGATTGCAGTGGTGCCTAAAACTGGGACTTAGCCTCCTAAGTCTGGGCTTTAGGTGCCTAAGTGCCTTTGTGGATCCAGGACTAAGTTCTTGGCCTCAGTGACATTCTGTGCCAATGAGTTCTACAGTCTAATTACACATTATGTGAAAAGCAGAGCAGTGCCGTCCATAGGATGGACAGGGGCAACTGCCCGGGGACCTGCGCTTCAGGGAGATGCCAGGGAGGGCAGGGTGGCCTAGGGGACTAGTGGGGGGCCTGACAGCAGCAGCAGGGGTCGGACCCACCCCCCACATTCACCAGCTGGGCATTTATTTCTTTTTCTTGCCTGCAGCCCCACAGGCTTGCCCCAGCCTGCTCCGCTCTGCCGGCTCCCAACATCGCCTGCCACTGCAGAGTCCTAGTGTCCCCCAACCACTAGTGGCAAGGCAGGCTTACCCTACCCTTCCGCCAAGGATGGACCCTTCCATTTTCTGGTGGGACCCTCCACCAGCACAGGGGGCCTCCTCGTCCCTAGCACAGGTGAGTGCCAGCCAGTAGTCTCCATCGTCCCTCGCCCACCACTGGTGTCCCCCCAGTACCTCACACCTCCCCCTCCACTGCCCTTTCTCCCCTCTCCCAGCACTGGTTGGGGTCCTCCAATGCCACTTCCAGGCCAGGGCCAGCCCTTATCACCCCCCTTCCTCAGGGTCCTCCTTGCCTTTCAGCTCTCCAGTCTTGGGGGTCCCCCTACCCACAGTACGAGGTCCTGGGATCCCACAAGTCTGCTCTCTCTACCACCCACCAGGACTGGGGTCTTCCATCCATCTGCTTTTCCGCCTCCCCTCCCTCTCCCAACCCCCAGAGAAAACAGATCTGAGAGCCCCTCCTCCACGCTGGAAGGTCCTGGAGTCCCTCAGCACCAGGGCACATGTAGGCCCTTCAAGAGCCACCCAGTTCCCGAGACATGGGCTCGTAGTGTTGCAAATGTGTAATTACATTTAAAAAAAATCCACAGAGGGTAGCGAGACCATATACATCTGGGAAGTGAGTTTGCTGCAAGGAAGTCCAGGAAGGTGGATTTCAGAATGTAAGCGGTGCGACACGGATCGTGATCGGTGGTTTTTTTTAAATTACATGAATTTCATTATAATTATAAAAAAGAACTACAATATAATATATAGCTGGGCACTATCAATATTTAACCTGCGGCCAGCAGCTGCCCTTGAAGTTCACTGTAACCAGATTTCATAGGACTTTTAACTTTTCAGTGGTAGAGGATTATAGTTTCTATCCCTGGTAGTTCATGAGATCCAGACCTTAAATAATCTCTGGTCCCTTGGACTACTTAGAAACATAGGTCATTTCCCAGAAAGACCAGAATACTTCCAGCAAGCATCCTTGGCTACACTGCGCTGGGGTGAGCAAAGGACCATTTTGCGTTAGTTACCTAGTTTATTTTTAAAGCAGCATTTCTACTTGGAAATAAACTTGTTATAAAGGATAGGGTTTTAGTTACCATCAGCCAGGTCTGCACTAGAAATGCTTGCTGGTATAGCAACTTCAGCTCGGGGTGTGATTTTTTTCCTCAACATTCTTATGCTGGGAAAAGTCCTAGAGTAGACAGAGTTATACTGGCAAAAAAGTGCTTTTGTTTGCTCAATGAACCAGTATAAGCTACACTGTCAAAAACACTTTGTTTTGTTGAAACTGTGTCTGCATTAAGGAGGGTTTGCCATATAGCTACACCAGCAAAATACAGACTAGGCCTCACTTATCCTGTTTCAGTTTTTGGTAAGCATCGTACCCATCTATCAAATCTGTTTATGTCGTTTGATAGCCATGTGGTAAAGAAACCTGTACTAGGTTTCCCTGTGCCCTGAGATGAGCAAAGTGCTGAGCAGGACCATTTTAAATTAGTTTTAAACTTTATCACATGGTTCTGAATTTATCACACACCATTTACCAAATCCTCCTGTTCCCCTCTGCCTGATAATCCCAGGCTACTTCCAGTTTTCCAAACCTAGTCTAAGCATCTTGTCATCTTTTTTTTTTTTTTTTAAGAGCAACCTTTCATAGAAATACATAGACATACAGAGAAGGTGGAAGTTGCCATATCCACCTTCTCTGTATGTGTATATATATATCTCTATCTTCTTACTACATGTTCCATTCTATACATCCAATGAAGTGGGCTGTAGCCCACGAAAGCTTGTGCTCTAATAAATTTGTTAGTTTCTAAGGTGCCACAAGTCCTCCTGTTCTTTTTTGCAGATAAAGAGTAACATGGCTTCTACTCTGAAACCTTTCACAGAAATGTCTCCTTTCCCCAACTGTGGAATTTCTCCAGAAAAATTTCCTAAGGTGCATGACAGGGACTATTCAGTGCAGTAGTAGTGACAGATTGGAAGTCTGATCTTTTATGTCTTGGCAGAGATCAGAAAGGTAACTTCATATAATTACACACAGAAGATTCACAGCTTCCCCCAACACTTGCTTTTAGGAAATTCCCAAGATAATAGACCTTAAATCATAACATTTTGTTTCACATAACTATTTTTGGACATTTTAAAGAAGTTCCTGCACCATGTAGAGCAAAACTCAAGGTAATTTAGACAGTTGGCCTTAAAGGCAAAAGTCACATAAAAGTACCCCAACACCATTTTTAAACTCTTTGAAACAGTCATTCCTGTTACACCTGCGGCACACAGAGACTGCACAAGGGTGTGCGTTGATGGACAGGCTTTACCAGCAGACCACAGGTGTTGCTCATGCTTAATGCGACACCCCCCCCCCGCCCCGCCCCGCCCGCCCGCCCCCTGAACGTTCGCCAGCCCCCATCCTGTACCACCTAGTCCCTGCCAACCCCTGTGAAGGGAAGGGAACAGGTGCAGCGTTACGCCTTTGTGCGGAGGGCTGGCAGCAGGCGCGGCTGTGGGGGGCTGTGGGGGCAGGGGGAGCAGGTGCGGGCGGGCGCAGGGCAGAGCTCGGGTTGCTGGCTGCGGCTGGAGGGATTCCTGGCGGTTTCATCACATGACACGATCTTTAATTCAAGAGTCATCGTTCATGCCCGGAGACCCCAGGGCGACCCTGGGCAGAGCCAGGGCTGCCTTGGCACGTCCCAGCCGCCAGCCGGGCGGGGGCGCCCGGGGCCGCTGTGCGGGAGGTCACCGCGGCGCGCTGCTGCAGACGGGCCGCGCGGTGCCACGTTGAGCTGCGCGGGCGGAGCCGGAGCCACTCCGCAGGCGGCTGCGGCTCCCCCTCCCACCGCCTCCTCAGGTCACGGCGGGGTGGGGGAGCAGCCCCTCCCCGCGCGGGAAAGGGCCGGGCTCGCGTCCTCCCCTCGGGCATGAATGGGCTCAGCGCCGCGGCTTCGCCCCTGGCCCGCCCCTCCCCCAATAGGGATGCGCGTTACAGGCAGCACGTCGCTGGAGATTGGTACCGCGCAGAGAACTGGCTCGCCGCCTCATCCCTCTTAGCCAATCACATGACAAGTTACAGCACGCAGCCCGGATAGCCAATCACAGCCTCAGCCGCTCAGCGCCCCAGGCTTCAGTTTGAAGCCCTGTAGAGTGACTGAGCGGCTTCTGATTGGCTTGAGGAGAAAGCTCTTTCTATTGGATCGGCCCTCGGGGCTGCTAGGGCGGCGGCAACGGCTTTTGATTGGGTCTCTGATTATCTTCGAGTAGGTTCGGCTAGTTCCGTACCGGCCTCACGATTGGCCCCGATGTATTCCGGATGTTTCCGTTCCCGCTCGGTGATTGGCCCCACGCGGGTGAGGTAATTACCGTATCCACCGCGGGATTGGCCCCGATGTGCTTCGGGTGTTGCCGTGCGGAGGCCTCGGGCGGTTTGACTGGGTATTCACAGAAGCTGCTTAAGGCCGTTGCGCAGCGTAGGGCGGCGACGGGGATAGGCGGCTGCGCGGCGTTGGCGCACGGCACACACAGAGCGCAGCAGCGGCCGCAGCAGCAGGAGCCGCAGCAGCAGGAGCCCGGCACGGAGCGGCGGCAGCAGCGGGGACAAAGGGACTGATCGGCGCGGCCGCGGGGGCTCCCGGCAGGAGGCAGCAGCTGCCGGCGCCGGAACCGGCGCGGGGGAGCGGCAGGAGGGTCCGGCCGCGTCGGCGGGTCCCATGTGCCCTGGGCGCCCAGGGGAGCAGCCGCCGCCAGGGCTCTGAAGCCGGCTGAGGAGGAGCCGGGGCCGGGAGCTGCCGCCATGGCCTGTGCCGCCGCCTGCGGCCGCCGCCCGCATTGCAGCCGCCTCAGCGCGAGCCGCCGCCCGCTGCCCCTGCGGGCGCTATGAGGAGCCGCGCCGGAGCCGTCGCCTCATCCCCGCACTGAGGAGCCGGAGCGAGCGAGGGCGCCCGACCGCTTCACTCCCCCACTCCGCCCGCCGAGGATCCCAGCGCCCGCGCCGAGTCCTCTTCCACGCTCGCCTTTGCCGTCGCCTCGCGGAGCAACGCGCAGAGCCGGAGATCCTTCCGCCGGAGAAAATAGTGCCATCGCTGCCGCTGCTGCCTCCCTAAGAGGAGGGGGGTTGGGGGGAGAGAGAGAGAAGGAGAAAAACCAGCGAGGGAAGAAGAGGAGCTCGGCTGTAGCCTGCGCCCCATGTGACTGGCTCCCAGGGTGGGGGCAGCAAGGCCTAGCAACCCCCACTGTTTCGCAGCCCGCAGCAGGAGCAGCATCGGGGGGGGGGCTTGTGTGCTGGGTGGAGGCAGTTGTTGGACCCAGTGGTGGTGCTGGGAAGGATGGTTTTATAAACGAGGAGTGAAGAAGCCCTGAGAAGAGAGATTCAGAGGGGGAGAGGGTTTCCCCTGAGGGGGAGGGGGCTGGAATTTAATGTTGCATTTTTTATCCCTCTCCACCTGAGAGGCACGCACACCAACCACCAGGAAGAGAAGAAGGCGAAAGGAAGAAAGGAGGAGAGGTGATCAGAGGGAGAGAGAGAGAGACCATGTCAGGGCGGCCCAGAACCACCTCCTTTGCAGAGAGCTGCAAACCAGTGCAGCAGCCTTCAGCATTTGGCAGCATGAAAGTTAGCAGTGAGTATTGATTCCGCATCCACACCCTGTGCAGATTAAACACTGGGTTTTTAAAAGAGAATTTGCATTGTTGTTTGTCAGTAAACGTAATCGTGTGAGGGATTCTGGGCTGGTCAGTGGAAGAAGATCTAGGCTCCCCCCCCCCCCCCAATTAACCTTGAATAGGCACACACCATGGTTTCCCTTTGGGCCTCCTGTTTAACAAGAAATATTTGTGTGGTGCTCCTTTCTGCCTTTTATCTGTAACAATATTGTTGTTAAATTGACCAGCTAGTTAAAGGGAATATTTCTGTTGCAATTTGGTTTTAAAGAGCTATGTGCTGCGTTTCTGTCTATGGAGCAACCGAGGGAAGGAAATGAATTACATGCACATGTGATCATCCACATATTTGTACAGTTGTATACTTCTAAACATTTTCTGTTGTGTGACCCTTTGGAAAGTGTAATGTTTGCTATAAGTCGGAGGTGAAAATAAGCTGATAGGTCCCGTAGGGCATACTACCAAGAGCCGGTGCACAGTACTGGGGCAGCCTGGCTTCCCCAGGGGACAATTTAAAGGGTCTGGGGCCCCCAGCAGTGGATGGGGCCCCAGGCCCTTTAAATTGCCTCCAGAGCCCCGCTGCTGGAGCCCTGGGGTAGCGGCGGGGGGCCTGGGGCTCCCCTACTTCTACCGCCCTGGCCCTTTAAATAGCCGCTGGAGCCCTGCCGCCGCTACCCCGGGGCTCCGGGGGCTATTTAAAGGGCCAGGACTGCAGAGGCAGCTGGAGCCCCGGCCCTTTAAATAGCCCCTGGAACCCCCGCTACCCCAGGGCTCTGGGGGCTATTTAAAGGGCCTGTGGCTGCCCTGCTTCTGCTGCCCCGGTCCTTTAAATAGCCGCTGGATCCCCGCTGCGTCCCCAGAGCTCCAGTGGCTAATTAAAGGACCGGGGCAGTAGAAGCAGGGGAGCCCCGGGCCCTTTAAATAGCCCCCAGAGCCCGGGGCTGCTGCTGCTACCCCGGTGGGGGAGGGGGGGAAGGAGGAGAAAGAAGGGCGGGGCACTTACCTTACAGGATGGGCTGGGGCTGGCTCTGACCCCCTCAGCCCCGCCCTTCCACCCTAGGCCCCGCCCCTTCCAAAGGCCAGCGCTGGCCCCAGTGTACCAGTAAGTCACTCTACTTACTTTCACCCCTGCTATAAGTATGCACCCACAACTGGGGTGTGTACACTTCTTTTGTGCAAGCTTACAAGGAGGCTTAGAAAGGTCTATCCCCATAATATCTTGTGTTTCAGGCTCTGTTAAATGTGCTGTGAAAAAAATTCTTGAATATGATGTACTGTATGTTCTTTTTCACTGGCTTTCGGAATTTGAGAAATATTTTTTAAGGATGAGGCCTGTGGCCCCATTCTAAACAGTAGTATTACATGTATATTTGAAATTGGGTAAGTGGTTTAATATGTGCTTATCCTTGATCTCCCAGTTTATGGCATTGGGATTTTGAGGAGAATTAGAAATATATATTTAATTCTGTTAATCAAAAAGATAAAGTGTTGGAGGAAAAAGGCCCTATTGTGTGTTTCAAAGATCAATTACATATTTATAATCTGGAATTTGTTGATTACTGGTTTAAGTATATTCACATGCAAAGGTAAAATGATCTTGCTTATCTATGTGAATAATTTCCATTCGAAGGCACTTCAGTTCCACTCTTGTAGAAATCTGGATGGCTTTATAAAAGGACTGTGAGTGTCTAATATACATCATATTATTTAAACTGTTCACTTTGAGACTTGCATTTTGACTGGCAAAGCTGTGTTTATATCATATTGCTTTACTGTACATGTGAAGCTTTAGTTCACATCAAAGCTTTAGGTAATTGTGAGCTTTCAAACATTTGTCAGAAATTCTTGTATTTTCTAGTCTAAGATGCCTTCCACTGTGGTTGGAGCTTTGAGGAAAATATTGGCTTTATGGTCTGAAGTCTACCCTGTCAGTCTGTGTGATCAGAGTACCTGCAGTATGAATGAACATTTTGAGTAGTTAGCCCATATTAGCAACATGAAACTGTACAGTTGATTAGATATTGCAATAACGCATTTCACTCTCCATTTATATGGAGAATATTGTATGTCTCCATTTTATTCTCATTCTCCTTATATAAGGGAAGCAGGAGGTGTTAATCAATAATCTGCATGTGACTATGTGTAAAATAGACCCAGATCTAGAGCTGTCATGATCAGAAACTAAAATGGTCTTTAAGCTTTTCCTCTTATTTTTGAAGGTTTGGTTTGAGTCTCTCTTCCTATTTGAGGTCAAAGTCTAGGTAGATGCATGCCCATAAATTGGTTTAGGCTAGCAAATATGATTAAATCCCAAATATATAACACAATGGGGAAGCAAAGGCCTTAACGTAAAGCGCCCATAACGGTGATACCCCTCTTCCCCCCCCATTGTGATCATGTGCTGCATGTCCTGTTGGTGTCTTTAAAAGGATATGCTTCAGAGTAGCAGCCGTGTTAGTCTATATCCACAAAAAGAAAAGGAGTACTTGTGGCACCTTAGAGACTAACCAATTTATTTGAGCATAAGCTTTCGTGGTTGGTCTCTAAGGTGCCACAAGTACTCCTTTAAAAAAAAAAAGATATATAATCAGAGCAGCAGAGGCAAGGACTGTGTGGAGTAGGAGACAGTGTCTGGTCTGGAGGACAGCAGGACTGCCATATGCCAAAAAGGGTAACTTCTAATGGGATTCAGAATTTTTGGTGGCCTCTTTGGGTATGATGAGGCAAGATTCAAATAATCAGAGTTCAGGTCTTGGAAAAGTAGGCTTTACTTTTTTTAATGATGTTTCTAGCCATTTTGGTTGTAAAAAAAAAATTCCTGTATATGACCATCTGTATATTGATGCGGTGCGGTTTCTGAAGTCTGCAGGCAGCTCTGGTGCCTCTGACACTGATCAGAACTTCCTAAACTGTAGCAGAGTGAAAACTGACCTGTTTTGGGTCTCTTTCACTGCTTCTATTCATAATTCTGTGAGTAGTAATGAAACTGAATGATCAAGTAAACCTTGCTCTGATGCTGCTGTGGAAAGACAGGAGGAGCAGCTGCAGTCGGGCACTGTAGCTACTCTGGAGGAAGAGAGGACTCCAAAAGTGGAGGCTGTGGGAGGGGCAGAGTAGCAGAGACTCTACCTACCATCACAGCATCCAGGAGGATGTGGGTGGGAACATAGTGAATACTCCCTGCTGTTGAACTGAAGGAGCATGTGTTTTTCCCCTAAATTTATCAGATGGTTGCTCACTCACTGCAGACTGATAGGAAAGAATGAGACTTGAAGCTAGATCCAGGGACTGGCATAAGATTCCCAGCACCTCTCCTTTCCCAGCTCCAGTAAAGGGAACTTGTCATTTGTGCTTCACATGCTGCCCACCTGTCTGGGATAACAGTTGTAGGGATTGTGGTGTCCCAGGATTCTTTCACCAAAGGTAGAAGTAGTAGATGTTGCCTTGTCAGTGTTAAGAGCATCTTCCAAGATCCACTAGGTAGTTTTTTGTTTTGGTTTTGAGAGCACTTACGCTCCCCTGAATTTGTATATTTTAAAATTTAGTTAACTTCAAGTGGCTTCCTCTGTGTTTACAGTTCTATAATATTGGGTTTGCAAACTTATTCTGTGCAAAAAAACTTTTTTTTGTGTTCCTTAAAAAGACATACTGGTTGGGCCTGTACTAGTTTCTAGGAATGAATTGAGGGCAATATAAAAAATATTAGATGTATTTTTCATTTTGAAAGGTCTAGCTGTGATCTTATTTAAAAGGTAAATATGTTAGTTGGATTTGTAAGGTTAAATATAAACATTCAGCTAATAACGTTTGGACTTCTGGGTTGCTGTTTAAATTGATGCTTGCCGGTAAATTCCATTTGCCGAAATTGAGGTATGGCGCTTACCATGGCTTAGTGCTGTACCTAGTTGCTTTATTCTGGGAAATGATGTACAACTGGAAGCAAACATGAGAAATTATCCTGAAAATGAAGTGCGGTCTTGCAACACACAACAAAAAATGCATCTTTTCATAAAAATACAAGTCTTAAATGGGAAAACTCACAACTTGCAGATTTAAACAGTAACCTTTCATGGCTGTGAAACTGCTGTTGATTATGAAAGAAAGTGTTTTAAAGAACATTTAAGACTTGATACACTTAAAAATACTGTCTTCAAACTATTACTTTGTCTCTGCCCACAGTCCTTAATAACAGGCTAATTCTTCTCAAGGGTTGCAATAAACTATTCACTGCATATGTAAATGTCGTATACATGTAATAGAATTACTTGTAATTTTTCATTAAAATAAATTTAGTGAATGCTGCACAGCTGCTCACCTTGGGTTAAATGCCCAAATCTAGCTACCGTGTGTACTCATTCATAAGCCGAATATTTTTGGTAAAAAAAAGTGACGCATCAAAGAGCGGGGTTCGGCTTATGAACGGGTCTACACCAACATTTAATGATTTTAAACGCTATGAAATCATTGAATTGAATATCTAATACATTGTCATTTTGTTTAACTGGAGCATCTGCAGGCACCGAGCCCCTCAGCTCCCTGTGGCCAGGAACAGCGAACCGCGGCCACAGGGAGCTGAGGGGCTCCGTGCCTGCAGATGCTCCAGGTAAACAAAACGTCCCAACCCGCCAGTGGCATACCCTGACGGGCCGGGAGCCAAAGTTTGCCAACCCCTGAAATATAGTGTCCGCTTATGAAAGGGTCATAGAGTTTTTACTATTTTTACCTATCCATCTTGGGGTGGGTCGGCTTATAAACGAACTGGCTAATGAACGAGTATATACTGTATTTTCTTGAGTGATGTGTGTAAGTTGATGGCCTCTTGCATTTTCATAATTTAGACTATGTAGCAATTAATTCTAAAAGAATTTTGCGCCAACAGCAAACTTGCCTTTTGTTCAAGTTCATTGTTTCTACTGCTTACTTAAACTTAGTCAGTTTTTTCATATGGAAGGATCCAAAA